ACCTCAATTGTTTGGCCTGCAGACCAGTTGCTAAGCCCATCCACATTCAGCTCTTAGTCTTCAGAGGGAAACTTTGAGCACAGTGAGAATCTCCCAGTGTGCAAGAGGGTCCCTGTGTGCCAGCTGCAGCTGGGGCCTCAGCCATCTCCTCTCTCAACAGGTTCCCCTCTGCAGCTTCACAGGAAAGGCCAAACACCTCCCTCAGGGACACCTGCACCACACATTTCACATCTCCATGCCCATACGTGATGTCCCTGTCACAGCTGCGTTACCAGCTTGCTGCTGTGCAGATGCTGCCACCACCCAAAGCAAGGCCCTGTGTCCCTGAAGGGACCCGCCCTGCTCTGTGGCCTGGACTGAAGGTGGGTCCCTCCTGCCAGGGCAGGGCCTGACACAGCTCTTCTGTTCCAATAAAGAGATGGAGCTGTCACCCCAGTGTCTGGCTGGTACCACCAGCAAAGCCCACACAGCACCAGCCCTGGCTGAGCTCCATGTCCAGGAGCAGGCGGGGCTGACCACGGTGTGGGCAGGCAGGAGCCAGGCAGGGGCTGCTGTGACCAGCGGCAGGGCACTGAGGGGCTGGGGGAGTCTGTGTTGAGTGTCCCTGGGCTGAGGGCACATTTCCTTCAGTGGCATCACCTGGGCCTGGACCTCCTCCAGTGCCATGCCCAGGAAAAGAGGCAACCATCAAGAGCATCTCATGGGACAGAACATGACCAGCAATGTCAGCAGGCAAAACCAAGGTGGGAACCATCAAGAGCATCTCATGGGACAGAACATGACCAGCAATGTCAGCAGGCAAAACCAAGGTTTTGTTTAGCAATGACCCTTTGATGAAGTCAAAGATTTACAATCAGTCCAGTACAGATTGGAGTACAGATGGGAGAACACTCAGGGGGTACAGCCAAGGCCATGAGGTCACAGCAGTCTCTGGGGTGACAGCAGGCTGAGGTGACAGCAGGCTCTGAGGTCACAGAGGTCCCAGAGCCCCGTGGTTGCACAGCACCACAAGGACCAAGCAGTCAGTCCCTGACCACGACTGTTGTGGCAGCAGCGGCGGCGGCAGCAGCGGTGCTGACATTGGGACAGCGGTGTCAGGACAGTGGTGGCAGCAAGAGCTGCAGGACTGGCAGTGGGCAAGGCACCATGGCCTTTGCTCTGCGCCTCTTCCTCCTGCTCCTCCTGGCAGTGGCCCTGCCTGACAGGGCTGCCCAGGCTGCTCCATGGCGAGCACAGGGAGCAGGTGAGCCCACGGCCTGGCTTCCCTTTCCTGAGACAGCACTTCCTTCTCCCTGGGAAGCATTGGGGATGGTTTTCCCCAGGGCTTCAGGGAGGGTTTCCTCTGTGGGAGGGAGAGAGTCCCCAGAGCCCCTGGGCTGGTCCTGCTGCCCCTCCAGGGATGTTGCATGGGGCCTGCAAAGAGGGTGGAGAGTGACCAGAGCCAGCCTAGAGCTCCCCAGGCCCCTCTGCAGCTTTGGCCATGTCCATTGACATCTGGCTCCCATGGCATTACCCAACCCCCTTGCAGTGCCCAGTTCCCTAAGGCAGAAGGGGATCCCAGCTCACCATGGAATGGTTCTGATCTGTGCTCCCTTCTAGATTGGGATGGTGACATGGGGCATCTGGAAGCCCCGGGACATGACGGTTTGAGACCCATGGAGAATGCTGGAGGCAAGTTCTCAATGTCCCTTTCCGCACAGTATAATCAGTGTCAATGTGGCAAGAACTTACGTGCCACTTCACTTAAGAATCTGAAGGCTGATGGATTCTGGAACCCTCGCTCTGCTCCGTTCTGGAGCCCTGAGTGATCCCACAGCATTGCTGTCAGTGGGAGGAAGGAGCATTTAACTATCAATCTTCTTCCACTGTGCAATGCCAGTGTCACTTTCCGTGTGCTCTGTGCAGCTACGGAGAAGATCAGAGAGGAAGGGGCCGGGCCCAGGGCTGTGCCCCAGGGCTGGGCCTCGTGTGGCTCCTTTGCCAGCCCCAGGGAGCCTGAGGATCTTCTACAGTGCCATGGGAACTCTTCTGTCCTGCCTTTCTTTGCAGCCAAGCCTCTTGGTGAAGGTGATCTGGCTTCCCAACCCACATCCAGGACTGAGGCTCTTGGAGATGGTGAGGGTAGGTCAAGGCCTTTCCCCCTGGGAGAGCTGCCAGCTCAGAGCCCAAAGCTCAGCCAGGGCAGCATCGCTGAAGGTGCCAGGACAGAGCTGTGCACGTGTGTGCCCTCGCCCTGCGTGATCCCCTCACCGCTCCTGCAGCTCAGTGCTGCCTTTGCAGATCAGCAGACATGACAGAAGCTTCTGTGGCTGTTGAGTTACAGGTGTGTCTGCAGGGAGGACTTTCCAGGCTCCTGGGCTGGATGCTGCACGCAAGCCCAGCTCCCGTCGCAGGGGTGAGTATTGTGTCCTTGCTGATCCCACAAGCTGAACCCTGATTTTTTAGGATCTATTCCTGGGAAATGGATATATATTTTTTTATAAGGTCCTCCAAGAGGAAAGAACAAAGCTACAGGACACCGGAAACCCCATGAGCCATCCAATACCATGCAGCAAATGCTGAAGGAAATGCTGCAGGGAGGACAAGGTGGGTCCATGTCCCTCAGCCTTCTCCTGACACTCAGCAGCCGGGGGCTTTCTCTGCACATCTGGTCACACCGTGCCCAGCACAGCAGGAAGGGATCCATGGCAGCCTTGCTGCCCCACTGCTGCTTTCATGCCCTGCAGGGCTGTTTCCCAGCCTGGCCTGGCTGCAGCTTCTCCCCAGCCTCTGCAGGAAGGCATTTGGCATCAGCTGACAGGGAGCCCAAATTGCAGCATGGGCCATGCACATCCTGAGATCCCCTGAAATATCCTGGTCTTGGGCTAGATCAGGTGTAGGGGCTGTTTGGAGGAGGGAGGGCTCTGGCCAATCCCATAAGTTTATATGATTTCCTAATCCTTATGCATGACCTCGACTAGTATTGCATCATGATGACACCACTTCCCTGAAAGAGGGAATGGTTCCATCTGATCCAGCTGTGGCTTTTCCTTTCTCCAGAGATGAACCCAAAGGCTGTGCTGAAGGCAGCGTTTCCCGGAGGAAGCAGTGGCTCATGGGCAGCCTCTGCTGCAGGAAGGGAGGCCATGCCAGGCACAGCCCCAGGAGGTAATTGCTGTGCCTCTGGGCCTGAACCCTGCTGAGGCTTGAGCTGTAAATATCTGCTGCTTGGCAGTGCCTGCCTTTCAGGGATGTTGCACAGAGCATGGAAAAGGTGTTGAGAGCGTCCAGGGCCAGCCCAGAGCTCCCCAGGCCCCTCTGCAGCTTTGGCCATGTCCATTGACATCTGGCTCCCATGGCCTTACCTGACCCCCTTGCAGTGCCCAGTTCCCTAAGGCAGAAGGGGGTCCCAGCTCACCATGGAATGGTTCTGATCTGTGCTCCCTTCTAGATTGGGATCGTGACATGGAGCATCTGAAAGCCCTGGCACATAATGGTTTGAGATCCATGGAGAATGCTGGAGGCAAGTTCTCTATGTCCATTTCTGCACAGAATTATCAGTGTGAGTGTGGCAAGAGCTCACTCTCATGCCATTTCCCTTAAGAATCTGAAGGTTGATGTATTCTGGGAACTTCGCTCTGCTCCCATCTGGAGCCCTGAGTGATCCCACAGCATTGCTGTCAGTGGGAGGAAGGAGGATTTAGCTGTCAATCTTCTTCCACTGTGCAATGCCCGTGTCACTTTCCGTGTGCTCTGTGCAGCTACAAGGAAGATCAGAGAGGAAGGGGCCGGGCCCAGGGCTGTGCCCCAGGGCTGTGCCTCGTGTGGCTCCTTTGCCAGCCCCAGGGAGACTGAGCTGCTCCTGTTGCTGCTGCCAAGCCCTGGCCCTGCCTGGGGCTCAGTTCAGAGCTGCTGGCAGCTCCAGCTACTCCTGTCTGCTGCTGCCAAGCCCTGGCCCTGCCTGGGGCGCAGTTCAGAGCTGCTGGCAGCTCCAGGGAGGCCTTTCTCCCCTGACTGCAATGCAAGGGGCTTCTTCTATCCCAGTGTGGGCCCACTGCAGGCACCTTGTCCCCCTGCTCCTGCTCCTGAGTGGAAGGCAGAGAGGAGGGAGTGCCTTGGAGGGCACCAGTCACCCAGGTGCACTCACTGCTACTCTGGACTGATGGAGAAATGGAACTACTTTCCATTAAGGTCCTCCAAGATGGAAGAACAAAGAGATAGAAGACAAGAATTCCCTGGAGGCATCCCAACTTCTGGACAGGATGCTGAGTGATCTGGAGAGACGCCGTGGTGGGTTCATGTCCCTCAGCCTTCTCCTGACACTCAGCAGCCAGGGGCACATCTGGACACGCCGTGCCTGGCACAGCAGGAAGGGATCCATGGCAGCCTTGCTGCCCCGCTGCTGCTTTCATGGCCTGCAGGGCTGTTTCCCAGCCTGGCCTGGCTGCAGCTTCTCCCCAGTCCCTGTAGGAAGGCATTTGGCATCAGATGACAGGGAGCCCAAACTGCAGCATGGGCCATGCACACCCTGAGATCCCCTGAAATTTCCTGGTCTTGGGCTAGATCAGGTGTAGCGGCTGTTTGGAGGAGGGAGAGCCCTGGCCCAGCCCCAATAACCTGGATATTTTCCTGACCTTTATCCATGACTTTAACAAGTATTGCCTCCTGAAGATACCACCTCCCCTAATGGTGAACAGTTCTATCTTATCCAGCTGTCCTTTTTCCTTTCTCAAGTGCTGGAGCAGATGTTTGTGCAGATGATGGCATATGCTAGAGGAAGGAATGGCCCTGTGCCAGCTCCTGTTGCAGGAAAGGAGGAGATGCCAGGCCCAGGCACAGGAGGTAATTGCTGTGCTGGGCTCTCCCTCGGCAGGGCTGTGTGCCAGCAGCTCTTCCCTCAGGGCCTGCATGGCCCGGCAGCAGCCAAAGCTGGAGGTGCCGCGGCTTCCAGGCCTCTGGAGCTCATTCCCAGCCCCTGGGAATCGGGACTTGTGCACCAACATCTCTCCCCCTGCAGCTGCTCCTGGAGCTGCCCCTAAGCATCCAGAGGCCCAAGACACAGGAGCAGCCCAGAGTGGGAGCCCTGCCGTGAGCCCAGGGCCACAGCCAGCCCTGGCTCCCAACTGGGCAGAGGATGCACTGGCCCCTTACAGGGCCTAGCTCTGTCCCCTTGGGCTGGGGGAGCTGTCACAGAGCAGGGAGGGTCAGGGGTGGCAAGGTGCCTGCAGGCCCCAGCTCTGGGGGAAACAGAGAATGTCCTGGCCATATCCAGTGTGCTGCCAGCTCAGCAATGGAGCACAGCACAGGCTCACGCTGCCCATTGCTCCCACAGATGCGCTTGGCAAGTCCAGTATAAATGCTGAGAATCCACCGAGCACCCCAAGAGTGTTCTGCCCGCAGGATGTGCGCAAGTCCTGCATGATAGGCACAGCAGTGACACTGTTCACAGTGCCACTTTCCATGGTCCTGTGCTATGTTGGATTCCAGTGGTGGAAGGACAAGAAACGGTAAGTTGTTGTTCATCTCCACCCTCCAGCTTCTTGAAAGGCTGCTCATAGTCAGGAAACATTCCCAGTGAGGCTGCTGTGCACTTGTGGGTAATCAGTGGTTGCCCAAATAACTCTGCTGAGAGTTCTGCTGCTGCCCAGGCCTTTCATTGGCCTCTTAATTGCTGGGCCTTGTCCTGGGGAGCCCGCTGGGGCTGCAGCCAGTGCTGGCTCCCACTGAGGCTGCCTGGCCAAGAGCAGCCCCCGGAGCAGCGGGCAGAGGCAAAGCAAGGTGGGCAGGAGAAAGAGCGGGGACGAGATTGCCCTTGAAAGGCAGAGGTGCTCTGGGGCCCGCTCCTGGCCAGGGACCCTGCCCAGAGCCATCCCCTGCTTGCTTGGGGCCTTGAGGGGCAGCTGTCCAGCTGGGCCAAGCTGTGCCAGCAGCTCCAGCCGTGCTGGGGAGCCTTGGCCGCTCTGGGCCCTGCTGTGCAGGAGGGTCCCTGAGTGCCCATGGCAGCTGGGGGCCTCAGCCACCTCCTCTCTCCACAGTCACCCTGCTGCAGCTCCAGCATACCAGCCAAGAAGGTGTGATTCTCCCTTGCCCCCAGGGAGCCCAGAGACTGCCTTGTTCGACAGCTCTCAGATGTGGCCTCAGATGCAGGAGTCGACCTGGAAAGCAGAGCACCAGCACTCCATGCCTCCCCCACGGCCCCCCAGCCCGGCTGTGAAGAGGAAGCCCCCTGAGATCCCCCCACCTCCTCCCCTCCCAAGCCGGCCACCCTGGTCCAGCTAGGACTGAAAGTGGGACAGCCATGGCAGGGCTTGGGCCACCAGCAGCTTGGGGCATCTGCTCTTGGCTTCAAATAACACATTACCTGTGGGTAACAGCCAGAGGCACTTTTCCTACTCTTTTACCTTCAGTGGGAAGGGCTGAAGATTCTTCCCATGCCCTGTCTTATCCCTTTTGATTTTCATACAGCTGGGTGCTGGCTGAACCTTTACAAAGAACTTTATTTATTTACACTTCATGTTTTACCCCACCTATCAAGGAAAAAAAAATAAAAATAAAAGATTTCTTCAGTTTAGACTTCATTTTTAATGTGGTTGGGCCACTCAAATTTTGAGCAATTAATTTTCCATGGTGCCTCTTCCCTTTTCCTTCCTATCTAGAAAAAGTTCATCTGGACATGAAAATCAACAGAATTACTGAGATTCACCTCAAAGCCCAGAGGAGAATCTCACACAAAATATTCTCCCTGTATACTGCACAACAAGAAATATTCAGAGGAAAATACCGTGGCAGCTGAGGCTCCTGGAACTCCCAGAATCCTGAGCCTGCAGAAGAGGCAAACAGCCCTGGCAGAGGCTGAGGGGAATTCTCCTCAGACTCCTCAGAAAGTGTGTCACTTCAGGAGGGGAAAGCTTTTAAACCTTTGCCTTACCTTCCTCCTGTGCTAAAATGTAAGGCTCCTCCTGAGAAAATACTGAGCTACAAACAATTCTCCATTCCTCAACAAAGCTACTCAGGTGCTCAACTTACAGAGCAAAACTAAATGTGGTCAGAAATTTCCCATCAAAGCCCATTTGCAGAGAAACCCCACCATATGTGAGCAAATATTTATTAGCACTTCAGTTCACTCTAAAGATTGCTCCTTTTTTTTCCCAGAGAGAATATTAGAACCATTTGCTCTTGACAGGACTCCTTGGATGGCCCCCAGACCTGGCTCCTCACCACGCCCTGCCCGAGCTGTTCATGCAGCCAGGCAGCACCACCTGACTTTGCCACCCTTTTCAGGCCTTGGGCACGGCTGGTGCCACGGTCCCCTCTGGTGCCACAGTCCCCTCTGGTGCCACAGTCCCCTCTGGTGCCACGGTCCCCTCCTGGTTCATGGTGTGTCCCTGCTGCTGGAGGAGCCCTGCTCGTGCTGCTGTGTTCAACAAGGCTAGTGCTACTTCCCAGCCAAAGAGACACTAAAGTCACTGCTTTGGCCAGCTCATTGGAATGAGTTCAACACTTCCTCACCTCTATCACAGATAAAAACCCACATACTCCTAAAACCCACATACCAGCAGCATAAAGTCACCTCATCTACAGAGGTGAGGAGGCCTGAGCAAACAGAAGGTCGGCTTTCAAGCACATTGGGTTTTTAATTTAGTGGAAGCACTCAGTTGTGCACAAGCCTTATTTGTCAAACTGGACTGTGCAATGCTATTCTCTTGCTCGTATTAAAGAGGAGCCAGGGAGAAATTAGCTAAGAAACCAGAAACACTTGAGGCTCAGGCCTGGCACACAAATAGAGCAGGGTGGCACCTGCCCACTTTTCCCGCATCCCTTTTCCTGACAGACAAAGGCGGACGCGGCTCCACTGGGGGCACCATGGAAAGGCTTCTGATCTGTGCTCCCGTCTAGATTGATATCAGAACATGGATTATCTGGAAGCCCTGGCACATGACAGTTTGAGATCCATGGAGAATGCTGGAGGCAAGTTCTCAATGTCCCTTTCCACGTAGAACAATGAGTGTCAATGTGGCAAGAGCTCACTCACATGCCATAGCCTCTTGAAGATGCCACCTCCTGTAATGGTTAACAGTTCTATTGTTGTGATGTCTGCTTTGCTTGAATGGTTTCTCCAATTATTCCCCTAAGTCATTGGTTTGCTCCTAGTTTGTATCCTCCTACCCACCTATCAATCCAACCTGCCTCAAGCCCAGCCCTTGTTTTCTCATGTTCCCCATCTGTCATTACACCCATTTGTCAGTCTTCCCTTAGGCCAGCCTCCTACCTGAACCGCCCCTCTGGAAATCCCCTAATCTCCAATTCCCCATTGGCCCATGTGACCCACTCTGCTCCCCTTGTTTCCCCTATTGTATTGTTGAATGGAACCTTCCACTCCTCCCATAGTTTCTTCCGATTGGTTAAAATTTTGTACCCTCCCTCTGGCCTCCCCCATATAAAAACCCACACTCAGTTGTGTTCTTGGTCTTCAGTCCCTGGATGCTCCAGTGGAGTAAAAGCCTTTGGAACCCATACTGGAGATCTCCTCCTCATCCTGGTCTCCACCGTGCGCCTACCAATATCCTCGTGCCGTGGAGCATTTGCTCTAAGCCGCACCTTGGGTCACCCCGCTCCCGAGTGTCACGATCCGCTAACACAAGTGGGAGTCATGAGAGGTTCGTTTGATCTCAGATTGCAAAAAGGACACCAAAGGATTTCAGTTTAAATCACATCAGCAGTAATGCGTCTTTATTTTAGTGCCAGCAACAAGGGTGATGCGATAGAGGACAGGGAGAGAGAGAGGGAGAGAGGGATAAAGAGGCAAAATGCAAGGAGAAAAAAGGGGGGGGGGGGGCGGTTATAGCTACCAACAGACAAGACAGGGTCGCCGGTGTCTTCTTCCATACATCTCTCTCAAAGAAAGTAACTTGGAAAAGTCATTTTTACAGTCTGTTTCAAAGCAAGGGGCAGCTGGCCAAGAGGTGGGGAAATTCCTCGGCTATTTTGATGAGACCCCTTGCTCTGGGAAGCAGGTGTAAGGTACAGAACAGGCCGCTCCTTACAAGTCCCTGCTCACCAGCAGGAATGAAGGCAGTGTACCTTGACAGCACAGCAAGCACGCCTGCAAACAATCGCCTGGCAAGCTTCCACCTCAACCAGGCCAGAACCCCTGCACAAAGTCCATTGGTGTCTTCAGGGTCTCAGTCTCTGTTCTTGCAATGGTTGTGAGGCAGATGAGGGAAACTTCGGACCGTTTCTTACAGGCCTCTGCCCATGTTTAGAGTTTGAACACTCCATCTCTCCATATTTTCTAATGAATTAAAGGGGATATTTTAGTGTATCATAGTCCATGTCCATGGCCTTACCAAAAGAACTTTCAGCCCCAATACTAAGGCATCTCCTCATTCTCCTTTCATCTGGGACTTGACTCCTTCTTTACTGACTTTGGCGTCTTCATGTTGTCTTCTACATATCCTCACTCTGTCCTTTTCTCTCACCCAAGGGGAGGATCGGGGTCTGCAGGTCTCATCTGTGCACTGAAATAGTTAATATCTCACCCAGGCCTGCAGATGATCATGATGGTTTTTGCCTGGTCCAAAAGCAGTCACAGTGATGAATTTCAGGCTGCCCTGGAGCTGTGCAAAGATCTCAGGGGGCCCAGCCAGAACAGTCATGGCTGTTCTGCCCACATGGCTGGTCCCAGGCCCCTGCTTCCTTCAATTTCAGCTGCGGGCCGATGGCTTCCCCTCCCTGTGCCCGGCAGCCGCTGGGGCCGCGCGGGCCGTGGTGAAGGGGGCCTGGCGGAGCCCGGCTCGGTGCAGGCCAGGGTGGAGCAGGGCCGGCCTGACCAGCACCCAGTTAACTCTTCACAGCTGGAAACAACAGAGAGCTTTCCTCGGCTTGACTGTCTTTAAAATGTGGATTTCACAGAGGAGAATCCAGCTTCTAAATGGTTTCATAGGTTGTCAATTCTCAGAGCCAGCCAGCTATTGGTTTTGCTAAGCACAGAGGAAGCTCTTAGCAGCCCCCTCCTAGAAAAAGCATTTGCATGGGTGGCTTCTTCCCTCCTCACCAACTATCAACTAATACAAACCAGCACAGACACTCACGGTGGAACAGGAAGCAATTTTGAAGCAATTATTTTAAAGCAAAATCAGTTATTGCACAGAGATTGATGTCACTCCCCCACACCACTGGAGAGAGACACAGTGACTCCACCACCTCCCCTCTGGCCAGCCCATTCCAATTCCCAATCAGCCTTTCTGTGAAGAACTCCTTCCTATTGTGAAAAACGAGGTTCACTCACTTAATAAATTATAAAAGGTTTAATATAAACAAAAAGACAATTAGGAGACAAAGACAATAAAGCAAAGGGTTAAAACAGCCAGGGTATCCTGGTGCGTTGCCAGGAACACACCTGATATCTTTGGAACACTCCCATTCTGCTGTGGGGTTTTAATGCATATTCATATTTTTCCAAAAAGTATTTTGCATGTCTACACCCTGAATCCGCCTTTTTAGAGCATGTGTCTTACAGATTTTATTTCCCTTTAGCACATTTTTATTTGGTCTGGGCTTCCTTCTTCTGCAGGTGGTCAGTGTTGATAGCAGCCTGGGCCCCATCATTTGTTTCCTGGAGGTTATCTTGCTTTGCACAGACAGGACATTGCCCTAACGTCCAAAATTCTTCTTGACCTATGCCTAAAACTTGCTAGCAGGAGAAAAAGACATTGCAAAAGCATAGAACATACAGCATCCATCTTAATACTTGCGAAAGCCAGTATCACAATATGGATTTATAACAAGGTACCCTTTATTGTCCACTGTATTTTTGATCTAGTAGTGGCTCTTTTTGTTTTGTCCTATGTACTAAGTGGTCTATTTAAAGTCTGATGTCTGTTAATCCTTTGTCAATTCAATAAAGAATTCATTTTATAATAAACCCAATCAGCCATTCTTAAGAACTTGTGAATGAGTGACATTTGGGGTGCAGGCTGCCTCAAAATGAGCTGCTGCCACAAAGCTGAGACAAAGGCAGAACTTGTCTAAACTTGTCTCCATTTGTAACAGCAGAGCCCAAACAGAGGCGGAGGAAGAAGGAGCAGGAGCTGTTTTGTGGCCATGCCCAAGAGAGACTGGAAGGATGCCCTCCCTCTGGTCTCACTTGCTTGGCTTTCTGACAGGCTCTGAGGCAGGGGCTGCAGTTCCTCAGTTGTGGGGCCCAGAACCAAAGCCGGGATCCCGGCACTGCCTGACAGCGCTCCGGACGCCGGCACGGTTGTGCGTCCGGAGTCTCGGCCACTGTGCTGCTGCTTCATTTGCTCTTAGACACACCCACAGCTCCCTGTTAAGCCCAGATGCTCTCTGGTTCTGCCCTCTTCCTGATCCTGAGCAGGGATGGAGCATTACTGTGCTTTCAGGAAGCTATTCTTGAAAGCCTCAGGCATTCTAAGCTCCTTTGCTGTCTGTGGATGCTTGACACAGAACCCCACACAGTGGGGTTCAGGGCATACTCAGCTTGGCTCTTCCAAAATCCAAGGCTCAGGGTGCTCAGCAAGACCTTTAACTCCACAATGTTGTGGAACTGGACCTTCAGCACAGGGACCTATCCAGCCTGATCTGCGCTCGTTCCTCTGCATCTCTGAACAAAACACAGTGCAGAAGAGAACAGCAGGAGGGGCCCGTGTGTCTCAGGGCTCAGGATTTGTGTCACAGAACTCCAGAATTGTGACCCTTCAGCTCCACATAGATGCAGGTTAAGTGAAAAAGCCAAACTGTTTATTGCTGGAAGGCAAAGCAAAGGGATGAGCTGAGAGGCAAAAAAGGGGGTGGCACAATCTGAGGGCTGGGGGGATGGAGCTGTCAAAAGGGAGGGAGAGTGGAAGGGAAAAAGAAGGAGTGGGCAGTGTCTGAGGGCTGCAGGGAGGGAACTATCTACAGGCAGGGAGAGGCCTGAAGCCACATGAGCTTCCCACAGGCTCAGCTGTGCCAATCATTAGCTGTGCCTGGAGCTCCAGCTGGTCTCTTCTGGTGTCAAGGTGTTCTCATCTTCCATGGCATCTGGAGGTCTTCAATGAACACTGTTTCTTCTGAGCCAGCAGATGAGTGTACTTCTGCAGCTCTTTCACTGAATATCAGTTGAACTACTATGTTTGTCTGGGAAGGGCTGTCATTCCTCCTCAGGGCTTAAAAGGCTGGAAGAGAGAGGAACAGAGCCACAATCAGAGCCCGCATCTGCGGGAATCCTAGGAGAATGTCCTGCCAAGGCCATCCCAGCCTGCTCTTGCCAGAGTTACAAGAGGGGAGTGGACAACGGGATCAGCTGCAAGGTCCTGGTCACGAATGCACACCTGCCAAATCCCCCGCCCCACGTCCCTGAAATCTCTCTGTGCTCTGCCCTCACCACCCCTTGTCCACACAGGGAGCAAAGCCCTCAGTGGCCAGGGCAGAGACTGCAGCTCCCCCCGCCAGCCCCCACGGACAGCACTCACTCACCCTTACTGAAGGCCTAGAGCTCTTCCTGCTGACCCCTCATTGGCACCTCGACCATCTCTGGGAACACAGAGCCTGTCAGGGCCCCAGCGGCACAGCTCCCTGCCAGCGGCGCTGCCAGCCCTGGGGCCACACGCCCTCCCGCCCCGGCAGGGCTCAGCCCGGGCCCTTGCCGCATCCTGACTCAGCCCAAGGGCACGGCTGCCAGAGGCCGGCAGCAGCACCGAGGGCAGCCGGGGCTCCAGGGCGCCGGGCCCGGGT